GACACAGGCTGTAGAGACTAGAGGAGGACACAGGCTGTAGAGGCTAGAGGACGCAGGCTGTAGAGACTAGAGGACACATGCTGTAGAGGCTAGAGGACACAGGCTGTAGAGGCTAGAGGACACAGGCTGTAGAGACTAGAGGACGCAGGCTGTAGAGACTAGAGGACACAGGCTGTAGAGACTAGAGGACACAGGCTGTAGAGACTAGAGGACACAGGCTGTAGAGACTAGAGGACACAGGCTGTAGAGACTAGAGGACACAGACTGTAGAGACTAGAGGACACAGGCTGTAGAGACTAGAGGACACAGGCTGTAGAGACTAGAGGACACAGGCTGTAGAGACTAGAGGACACAGGCTGTAGAGACTAGAGGACACAGGCTGTAGAGACTAGAGGACACAGGCTGTAGAGGCTAGAGGACACAGACTGTAGAGACTAGAGGACACAGGCTGTAGAGGCTAGAGGACACAGGCTGTAGAGACTAGAGGACACAGGCTGTAGAGACTAGAGGACACAGGCTGTAGAGACTAGAGGACACAGGCTGTAGAGACTAGAGGACACAGGCTGTAGAGACTAGAGGACACAGGCTGTAGAGACTAGAGGACACAGGCTGTAGAGACTAGAGGACACAGGCTGTAGAGACTAGAGGGCGCAGGCTGTAGAGACTAGAGGACACAGGCTGTAGAGACTAGAGGACACAGGCTGTAGAGACTAGAGGACACAGGCTGTAGAGACTAGAGGACACAGGCTGTAGAGACTAGAGGACACAGGCTGTAGAGACTAGAGGACACAGGCTGTAGAGACTAGAGGACACAGGCTGTAGAGACTAGAGGACACAGGCTGTAGAGACTAGAGGACACAGACTGTAGAGACTAGAGGACACAGGCTGTAGAGACTAGAGGACACAGGCTGTAGAGACTAGAGGACACAGGCTGTTCACTGCTCGTTCTGTGATTGGAGGAGAACGTCCCGCTCAGACTCTACTCAGCACTTTTCACTGCTTGTAATTCTTACACAGCTGAATCAATTACCTCAAGTTTTCAATTAAATGATGTATTATGATACAACTTGTATGTAGTAAAAAGCATTTTTATGAACTACTTAGAAAAAAAATTGGGTATAGCTTCTTTAAAATGTCTACTTAAAAAAGTGCACACTAAGTACATACAATAGACATTTAACAGTACAGTTATAGCAGCAACATGTCCAGTCATCAAAGGGTCCAATCCTTCTTTAACTGATCACAGTGGTTCAGAGATATTTGAATTTCAAAATGAGTTTTACAGCCCCGAAATCTTGTTATTGTTTTCATTTCAATGCCCCGCCCTCCACCGTTTCACCAATCAGAAAGTCTGTGTCCGGGCGCCAGAACTCAACGTGTGGAGCTAATCTCACTGGTAAAGAACTGAAAAAGGTCTCGTTATGATTCTCAAATCTCATCATCAGTGACTTTGGAGAAAGGTGTTGGTTATAGATTTGTTGTTGACAAAACTCTTGTCTATTCAGCTGTTATGGTCCCAGCTGGATTCGTCTGCATATCTGGCAACCTGAGTCAGGGAGAGTGGGAGAGGCTGCAGTACCACTTTTGACCACATTTGTACAAACTGCTTGTTTAAAGTGACAGTAGATGACGGTCATGGTCATGAGTCCACCTGCAGAGGGGAAGAATGTGTTGTTATGACCAGTGATGGGAATAACGGCGTTACTAGTAACGGCGTTACTAACGGCGTTACTTTTTTCAGTAACGAGTAATCTAACTAATTACTTTGACAGTAACTATAACGCCGTTATCATTTCCGACATCCCGTTACTGCGCGTTACTCAAGACGCACAATGAACGTGTTGTCATGAGAGAAGGGAGGATGAGAAAACCTCTCAGCAATTATTGGCTGATGTAAATCATATTTCCTTTACAATCCACATGTCTACAGTTGAGAGGATGGTCATAAATTGTGTTTTTGAAACAAATATGGGTCTTAATCGCGCTCAATCACGGCTTGTATCACCGTGAGGTCAGCCACAGAGGAGCGCATGAGAGCGCAGAAGTCGGCTGCATACAATTCCATCGATAAGCTCCTTGCTCTTCCTGGTTTATCTGCTAAGGGCAGCAACAGGTTTGGCTAACATACATATAACACATTTTTACATAATCTAAAATGCACATAGGGTAATTTTTCAATGACTATAGGAATGATAAGAAAGAGAGGTGAAGTGTAAGACGGTTGATTTTAGAAATTGGATGCAGCCGGCTGCAGCAAAACAGAGGAGTTTACGGAGGACACACGCGTTTTGTTTTACTTTTTAAAACTCATTGGACTCATTTCCAAATGGAGGATTACATATCTACGCTCAAACCATTCACTGGATTTAAACAAGGAACTGGTCTGAACCGAAGTGGACTGTGCAGGTCATTTATAAGGTAAGACCCATAACTCATAGTTTTGCGTTTTGTATGAACAAACAATGCGGGCATAAAACATATTTTGCTGTAGCCAAACAAATTGTCCACTTGATTTATATGATGTATATGTTCATCTGATTGGACTGAAGTCAGTGCTTCACCGGTGTTTCCACATTCACAGTGGCGGGCTTTACAGCACAGAGAGAGATGAAGAGTGAACAGGCCTTTTCTAGATGGAAATATTGGCACTGTTAAAGGTAAAAATGCGCACGTCGGGTGCACATTATGTTCCAGAACAAAACGAAAAAGTAACGCAATAGTTACTTTTACTGGTAACTAGTTACTTTTATAGTGGAGTAACTCCGTTAGTAACTCAGTTACTTTTTGGGAGAAGTAACTAGTAACTATAACTAATTACTTTTTCAAAGTAACGTGCCCAACACTGGTTATGACGGGAGGTTCTGGTCCAGATGGACCCAACAGGGCAGGAGGACAGTGCTCTTCCTGAAGTCCACAGTCATCTCCACTGTCTTCTGGGCGTTCAGCTCCAGGTTATTTGAGACCAGCATGTCACTGTTGTGTTTGCAGAAACTCAGCACAGATCATTTTATTTGAAATGGCATGTTGATACTCAGGATAGATGCAGGATAAAAATGCTGAACCTGTGCCATCAGGGAGAGAGTGTTAAACCCAGTGACCCCTGTGCATTCACATGTGCACACATGCTGTAACCTAATACAAAGTCTGATACAAGATGCTGCAGTGTGGGCTGCTCAAAAGGCAAAACAAATATTTTCAAAGCAACAACTGTGAATGATCTAAAGTCATACCTACAATATATGCTTTTTTAAATGTTCAGTTTTCAGTACAGATGGGCAGGCCTCTGCTTGGTCACCTCGGTCCACCTCGGTCCTACTGTACAGGGTCATACACCATTAACGCAGTGCGAAGGACATACTCAAAGACAGTCCTTTGATGAAACCACATTCATGTTGACGTTCTCCTCACTTTAAATATATAGTTTTAACTCATTATTGAGATTTGTTCAGTTACTTGTAAAACTGTGAAGCTGTAGAGACGTTTTTCTTTACTTCAGTTGCTGTAAGTGAAGCACAGATCATGTTATGCCTCATAAGCAGCATTTTAAAAGAAATAAATAGGTCACAGTTGAATGCAAGCTGCAGGATTTCATGTTGAGGTACGTATAACCCATGTGCACGAGAAGCTTGGAGGACGCTAACATTTCATTTGTGGGGCTCACTAAAAACAAACTCTAACCCTTAAGTTAAAGGAGCTATACCCGTGTCTGACAAGGTTCTTTTCACCGCCCCCAACTCGCTCACAGGCTTCTCATTTCCCCGACGCTCTCCTCCCACGGAGCCACCTAGTTTTATCTGTGATCTATGTATGCTAATATTAGCATGCTAACATTAGCATTAGTGCAACTTCTTGTAAACTGTACAACGATCACTGATGAAATGGTACAAAAGCAACGCACTGCTAACAAATTATATAACTGAAAGATTACCGCTAGTTTCACGTCAGATAGTCCGAGCGTAGATAGTCTTTCTGCGCTCGGACTATCTGCGCTCGGACTGAGGTTCCGCAGGTCTCTCCCTCAGACCAGTCTCTCCAGAGGATACGATGTAAGCTAGCTCTGTTCAGGGCTTGGTTTCTTCTTTGATCATGTTGTGGCTTTAGTTCCTCTTCTCTTCCTCACTGTTGTGTGGTTTGGGCTGTTTTGCTGTGTCTGCATTTACAGCCAGAGGAGCTATAGCCACTTATGCTAACATGCTACTGTGTTTAGCAGCGCTGTAGAGGCTAGAGGACGCAGCCTGTTCTGTGATTGGAGGAGAGCGGGCGTCACGCTAAGTCTCTACTCAGCACTTTTTACTGAGTTCATCCACAGCTGAATCAATGAGCTCAAATTCTCAATTAAATAACGGACGGCCTGATAAATCAAGACCCCTCTCCCCCTGGTTCCCAAAGATAAAATCATAAAAACTTCTTAAATTAGACGCTTTGCAATAGATACAGCAGACTTCAAGGCAATGGACAAAGGTAGCGCCGGATAACCTGAGAATGGCAACCGTCTTTCCACGTCAATTGAAGTTTCAGACATCACCTTTAAATCTATGATAGTTGTCAGTGGTGTAACATTCTGAGAGCTTCCGGATGTGCTGGACTGCAGGAGACTAAAGCCTAGCGTACATCGACAGAGAAACTGGGGACAACTAGTTGCAAGGCGGCTTTTGGCGACTGAGAGGAGATGGTGGGAGATGATCAGTTGCCGAAATCGGTCGATGTGCGCGCTCTTACAACTGGAGATGATCAGTCGGTCTCCAGTTCCAGTCAGTTGCCCGTGTTCTACTTTTCGGTTGTCCTCAGTTTCGGAGATATGACCCGATGTGCGCGCTCCATGCGCCGCTCCAACAACGTGTGTGTATCGCGTGTATTGCGAGCCCGCAACAGTTTATGTCAGAAAACACACTGTAGTTGAGGCCAGTTGCTGTCGATGTACGCGCTGTTATTCCAGAGACTGGCCTGCGACTCAGAGTTGCCCGTTTTCGCCAGATTGTCGATGTGTGCGGGGCAGCAACTCATATGCCACGGATATAATCAGTTGCCAGTCCCATGTACGCTAGGCTTAAAGCACCATCACATTTGGCGCAGTCAGCAGTGGTGTTGAGCGTGTGTGGGGCAGGGCCGTGGGGCAGGGCCGTGGGGCAGGGCTGTGGGGCAGGGCCGTGGGGCAGGGCCGTGGGGCAGGGCCGTGGGGCAGGGCTGTGGGGCAGGGCTGTGGGGCAGGGCTGTGGGGCAGGGCCGTGGGGCAGGGCCGTGGGGCAGGGCTGTGGGGCAGGGCTGTGGGGCAGGGCTGTGGGGCAGGGCCGTGGGGCAGGGCCGTGGGGCAGGGCCGTGGGGCAGGGCCGTGGGGCAGGGCCGTGGGGCAGGGCCGTGGGGCAGGGCTGTGGGGCAGGGCCGTGGGGCAGGGCCGTGGGGCAGGGCCGTGGGGCAGGGCTGTGGGGCAGGGCCGTGGGGCAGGGCCGTGGGGCAGGGCTGTGGGGCAGGGCTGTGGGGCAGGGCCGTGGGGCAGGGCCGTGGGGCAGGGCTGTGGGGCAGGGCTGTGGGGCAGGGCTGTGGGGCAGGGCTGTGGGGCAGGGCTGTGGGGCGCCTCTTTCAGCAGCTTGCATCAGCCTCAGCTCTCCTCACATGTGTTCTCTCTCAGTGTGTTGTTGAGTCCCTGTGAGTCTCTGTGAGTCCCTGTGAGTCCCTGTGAGTCCCTGTGAGTCCCTGTGAGTCCCTGTGAGTCCCTGTGAGTCCCTGTGAGTCCCTGTGAGTCTCTGTGAGTCCCTGTGAGTCCCTGTGAGTCCCTGTGAGTCCCTGTGAGTCCCTGTGAGTCCCTGTGAGTCCCTGTGAGTCTCTGTGAGTCCCTGTGAGTCCCTGTGAGTCCCTGTGAGTCCCTGTGAGTCCCTGTGAGTCCCTGTGAGTCCCATATTAGAGCACGGTGTAGGCTCCAGCTCCTTTTCTAAAGCACTTGTTTCTGTTCAGGTGTTCACAAGTGCTGTCCTGTTATCGGGATACAGTGCAGTGAAGTCAAAGGTTTTCTCTAGTCTCTGGATCTCACAGAGTTTGGATCGATTATTATCCACTATTTTGGGCCCTGTCAAATTTTTAGATCAGCTTTTTCAGAAAAGTGAGAAAGAGATGACCCTCCTCACTCGACCAATCAGCTCTCAGCCAATCACAAGAATGCAAAAGGTGCAATGTTTTAAAATAAGATGATTCATTCGTATTATTTTCTGTTGCGACAAGTGGTTAGGTTTAATACCATCTTTAATTTAGCAAAAGTCTTAATACTTCCCCCAAATAAGTTAAACACAGACCTTACAATATGACGATACTCTTGTCAACGCCTGGTCTCAGAGCTAAGAAGTGCAAGCCCTGGCCAGTGGCATGATGGGAGCCCCCAGCTGTTGTGTGTCTTTTCTCCCACACTGCCTTGTATGAGTCGGGTGTGGGTGAATGGGTGGAGAAGGGAGGGGGCTGGTGAAGGGAGGGGGCTGGTGAAGGGAGGGGGCTGGTGAAGGGAGGGGCTGGTGAAGGGAGGGGGCTGCTGAAGGGAGGGGCTGGTGAAGGGAGGGGGCTGGTGAAGGGAGGGGGCTGCTGAAGGGAGGGGCTGGTGAAGGGAGGGGGCTGCTGAAGGGAGGGGGCTGCTGAAGGGAGGGGGCTGGTGAAGGGAGGGGGCTGCTGAAGGGAGGGGGCTGCTGAAGGGAGGGGGCTGCTGAAGGGAGGGGGCTGGTGAAGGGAGGGGCTGCTGAAGGGAGGGGGCTGGTGAAGGGAGGGGGCTGCTGAAGGGAGGGGGCTGGTGAAGGGAGGGGCTGCTGAAGGGAGGGGCTGGTGAAGGGAGGGGCTGCTGAAGGGAGGGGGCTGGTGAAGGGAGGGGGCTGCTGAAGGGAGGGGCTGCTGAAGGAGGGGCTGCTGAAGGGAGGGGGCTGGTGAAGGAGGGGGCTGGAAGGGAGGGGGCTGGTGAAGGGAGGGGGCTGCTGAAGGGAGGGGGCTGCTGAAGGGAGGGGGCTGGTGAAGGGAGGGGGCTGGTGAAGGGAGGGGGCTGGTGAAGGGAGGGGGGGCTGGTGAAGGGAGGGGCTGCTGAAGGGAGGGGGCTGGTGAAGGGAGGGGGCTGCTGAAGGGAGGGGCTGGTGAAGGGAGGGGGCTGGTGAAGGGAGGGGGCTGGTGAAGGGAGGGGGCTGCTGAAGGGAGGGGGCTGCTGAAGGGAGGGGGCTGGTGAAGGGAGGGGGCTGGTGAAGGGAGGGGGCTGGTGAAGGGAGGGGGCTGAAGGGAGGGGCTGAAGGGAGGGGGCTGGTGAAGGGAGGGGGGCTGGTGAAGGGAGGGGGCTGCTGAAGGGAGGGGCTGCTGAAGGGAGGGGCTGCTGAAGGGAGGGGCTGGTGAAGGGAGGGGGGCTGCTGAAGGGAGGGGGCTGGTGAAGGGAGGGGGCTGCTGAAGGGAGGGGCTGCTGAAGGAGGGGGCTGGAGGGGGGCTGGTGAAGGGAGGGGGCTGGTGAAGGGAGGGGGCTGGTGAAGGGAGGGGCTGCTGAAGGGAGGGGCTGCTGAAGGGAGGGGGCTGGTGAAGGGAGGGGGCTGCTGAAGGGAGGGGGCTGGTGAAGGGAGGGCTGGTGAAGGGAGGGGGCTGCTGAAGGGAGGGGCTGCTGAAGGAGGGGGCTGGTGAAGGGAGGGGGCTGCTGAAGGGAGGGGGCTGGTGAAGGGAGGGGTGCTGAAGGAGGGGCTGCTGAAGGGAGGGGGCTGCTGAAGGGAGGGGGCTGGTGAAGGGAGGGGCTGAAGGAGGGGGCTGCTGAAGGGAGGGGGCTGCTGAAGGGAGGGGGGTGAAGGAGGGGGCTGCTGAAGGGAGGGGGCTGCTGAAGGGAGGGGGCTGCTGAAGGGAGGGGGCTGCTGAAGGAAGGGAGGGGGCTGGTGGCACAGACTTGTTGTAGAGTAATCTGTCTGTTAAAAGTGTTTGGCTCACTTAGGTCTGAGTACCGTTTATATGTACTAACCTGGAACAAAAAATATAAAAGACAAGATTCAACTGGTGGTGGAACATGAAACATGTAGAACTTCATGATATGTTTTGTTTCCTGGTTTATTCTGGGAAAACACTGTCAAACGTTTTGTATTTTGATGAGAATTGACTTTACTTTACAGGGTCTTATTCTTAGACTTGAAACTTAGAGAATTTTCCAATAACTCTAAGATTCTGCTTCACTTTTATCGCTTGTTAAAGTTAAGTTGGTTCTGTGACTGTGTGGTTCAGAAACATCAGAGACAAAGAAAGGAGAGCTCCCTACAAGGTGCTCCGCTCTGCAAGAGAGAGACCAGAGAGAGACCAGAGAGAGACCAGAGAGAGACCAGAGAGAGAGACCAGAGAGAGAGACCAGAGTGAGACCAGAGAGAGACCAGAGAGAGACCAGAGAGAGACCAGAGAGAGACCAGAGAGAGACCAGAGAGAGAGACCAGAGAAAGAGACCAGAGAGAGACCAGAGAGAGAGACCAGAGAGAGACCAGAGAGAGAGACCAGAGAGAGACCAGAGAGAGAGACCAGAGAGAGAGACCAGAGAGAGACCAGAGAGAGAGACCAGAGAGAGAGACCAGAGAGAGACCAGAGAGAGACCAGAGAGAGAGACCAGAGAGAGACCAGAGAGTGAGACTCGAGAGAGAGACCAGAGAGAGACCAGAGAGAGACCAGAGAGAGACCAGAGAGAGAGACCAGAGAGAGACCAGAGAGTGAGACTCGAGAGAGAGACCAGAGAGAGACCAGAGAGAGACCAGAGAGAGAGACCAGAGAGAGACCAGAGAGAGACCAGAGAGAGAGACCAGAGAGAGACCAGAGAGTGAGACTCGAGAGAGAGACCAGAGAGAGACCAGAGAGAGAGACCAGAGAGAGACCAGAGAGTGAGACTCGAGAGAGAGACCAGAGAGAGACCAGAGAGAGACCAGAGAGAGACCAGGGAGAGACTAGAGAGAGACCAGAGAGAGACCAGAGAGAGACCAGAGAGAGACCATAGAGAGACCAGAGAGAGAGGCCAGAGAGAGACCAGAGAGAGAGACCAGAGAGTGAGACTCGAGAGAGAGACCAGAGAGAGACCAGAGAGAGACCAGAGAGAGAGACCAGAGAGAGACCAGAGAGAGACCAGAGAGAGAGACCAGAGAGAGACCAGAGAGTGAGACTCGAGAGAGAGACCAGAGAGAGACCAGAGAGAGAGACCAGAGAGAGACCAGAGAGTGAGACTCGAGAGAGAGACCAGAGAGAGACCAGAGAGAGACCAGAGAGAGACCAGGGAGAGACTAGAGAGAGACCAGAGAGAGACCAGAGAGAGACCAGAGAGAGACCATAGAGAGACCAGAGAGAGAGGCCAGAGAGAGACCAGAGAGAGAGACCAGAGAGAGACCAGAGTGAGACCAGAGAGAGACCAGAGAGAGACCAGAGAGAGACCAGAGTGAGACCAGAGAGAGACCAGAGAGAGACCAGAGAGTGAGACTAGAGAGAGACCAGAGAGAGACCAGAGAGAGACCAGAGAGAGACCAGAGAGTGAGACTAGAGAGAGACCAGAGAGAGAGACCAGAGAGAGACCAGAGAGAGACCAGAGAGAGAGACCAGAGAGAGACCAGAGTGAGACCAGAGAGAGACCAGAGAGAGACCAGAGAGAGACCAGAGTGAGACCAGAGAGAGACCAGAGAGAGACCAGAGAGTGAGACTAGAGAGAGACCAGAGAGAGACCAGGGAGAGACCAGGGAGAGACCAGAGAGAGAGACCATAGAGAGACCAAAGAGAGACCAGCGTCCAAAGAGAGACCAGAGAGAGACCAGGGAGAGAGACCAGGGAGAGAGACCAGAGAGAGACCAGAGAGAGACCAGAGTGAGACCAGAGAGAGAGACCATAGAGAGACCAAAGAGAGACCAGCGTCCAGAGAGAGACCAGAGAGAGACCAGGGAGAGACCAGAGAGAGACCAGAGAGAGACCAGAGAGTGAGACTAGAGAGAGACCAGAGAGAGACCAGAGAGAGACCAGAGAGTGAGACCAGAGAGAGACCAGAGAGAGACCAGAGAGAGAGACCAGAGTGAGACCAGAGAGAGACCAGAGAGAGACCAGAGAGAGACCAGAGTGAGACCAGAGAGAGACCAGAGAGAGACCAGAGAGAGACCAGAGAGAGACCAGGGAGAGACCAGGGAGAGACCAGAGAGAGAGACCATAGAGAGACCAAAGAGAGACCAGCGTCCAGAGAGAGACCAGAGAGAGACCAGGGAGAGAGACCAGGGAGAGAGACCAGAGAGAGACCAGAGAGAGACCAGAGTGAGACCAGAGAGAGAGACCATAGAGAGACCAAAGAGAGACCAGCGTCCAGAGAGAGACCAGAGAGAGACCAGGGAGAGAGACCAGGGAGAGAGACCAGAGAGAGACCAGAGAGAGACCAGAGTGAGACCAGAGAGAGACCAGAGAGAGACCAGAGAGAGACCAGGGAGAGACCAGAGAGAGAGAGACCATAGAGAGACCAGAGAGAGACCAGAGAGAGAGACCAGAGACCAGAAAGAGACCTGAGAGAGAGACCTGAGAGAGAGACCAGAGAGAGACCAGAGAGAGACCAGAGAGAGACCAGAGTGAGACCAGAGTGAGACCAGAGTGAGACCAGAGTGAGACCAGAGAGAGACCAGAGAGAGACCAGAGAGAGACCAGAGAGAGACCAGAGAGAGAGACCAGAGAGAGACCAGAGAGAGACCAGAGACCAGAAAGAGACCTGAGAGACCAGAGAGAGACCAGTCATAGATGTAAAATGGCAACACATGTTTTTGAGAACTGGGGGATGAGACTCTGAAGATAATCATCTGAAAATGCAACAAATTACTTAGCACAAAAACATTGACTTTCTTTGTGGTATCATTCATAATCTTATACCTGGGTGTGTAAAGTTTCAAGCCCAACTGTTTCATAATAAATATTCTGTCTGTTTTTGGGTTTTTTTGGCTTCTTTGTGTTATGGCTGCACCTGTGGACTACAGCCAAGGCCGGTGGTGACACAGGCTTCTGAGCTGATAAGACCTTTGCAGACGACATCATGTGAAAGCGCCCAGCCTTGACCAACAGATAACACAAATGAACGGTTAATATTAAACTCATGAGTAAAACAAGCCGTCAGAAGCAACGGGAGAGCTGTATATTTGTATAACGCTGTAAGGAAGTTGTTTTTATTATTAGAGAAATGAACTGATTATTATTGTTTCAGTCAATGCAGATATTCCATTTGTTTCAGCTGCTGTGGATGGTATTAATGTTATAAAACTACAGGTCTGTTTTTGTGCTGAGAATACATTTCCAGCCAAATAACTTTTAGCCGTGAAGGTATTACCAAATACAGTGCCTTGCGAAAGTATTCAACCCCCTTGAACCTTTCAACATTTCGCCACATTTCAGGCTTCAAACGTAAAGATATAAAAATTTAATTTTTTGTCATGAAACAACAACAAGTGGGACACAATCGTGAAGTGGAACAAAATTTATTGGATAATTTAAACTTTTTTAACAAATAAAAACTGAAAAGTGGGGCGTGCAATATTATTGGGCCCCTTTACTTTCAGTGCAGCAAACTCAGTCCAGAAGTTCAGTGAGGATCTTTGAATGACCCAATGTTGTCCTAAATGACTGATGATGATAAATAGAATGCACCTGTGTGTAATCAAGTCTCCGTATAAATGCACCTGCTCTTTGATAGTCTCAGGGTTCTGTTTAAAGCACAGAGAGAACCATGAAGACAAAGGAACACACCAGGCAGGTCCGAGATACTGTTGTGGAGAAGTTTAAAGCCGGATTTGGATATAAAAAGATTTCCCAAGCTTTAAACATCTCAAGGAGCACTGTGCGAGCAATTATATTGAAATGGAAGGAGTATCAGACCACTGCAAATCTACCAAGACCCGGCCGTCCCTCCAAACTTTCATCTCAAACAAGGAGAAGACTGATCAGAGATGCAGCCAAGAGGCCCATGATCACTCTGGATGAACTGCAGATAACTACATCGACAGACAGGAGTTTTAACCAGAAGGTGCAGAGTTTCATGTTTGTGCCAGAAGTTCCTGATATTAGTGCAGATGGATCTAAACTCACGAGGAATAGTAGTTGTATCTCCTTTAATTCTTCTTTGTTAATGTATTTGCATTACTCATACAAGAGAAGGGCAGATACATTTGGATTCTAAATAGTCATAATGAAAGGGAAGTATTAAATGCATTGAACAATCCAAATGAATTGTTCCTCAAAAACCACAGATAGAATATTAATGTTTAAATCTGCTCATAAATTTGCTTCATTACTGTCAATGCAGTTTTAACGGACATAAAACATGCCGTGCTTCAAGCCCAATACGTCTGACATTCCCTGATTTATGATTGTATACATCCATCCATTTTCTTCCCTTTAATCCATTTCTGGGAGTCAGTCAGAGCTGCTCCCAGTCCACAGAGCACCACCCCCTCACTGATCCTCTGCAGGTGCTGAGTCCACAGAAGCTGAGATCTTTCAGCGGGGGCTTCAGGCAAAGTGGGGTTAAATGTCTCGCCCAAGGACACGACAGCAGACATCAGTGGGAGTCGGTGGAGGTGGGATTAAACCCACGACCTAAAGGCAAATGCTCTGCCAACTGAGCCCGCCACCCCATGATAGTATCTACTGTAACAAAAAGGTACATTTACTACTTATCTGTGTACAAATACATTATAAAGGTTGTAAATAATGGTTTAAGTTGTGAATATTATTGTAATAAGATGAATATGGAAACGTTATCTACATGAAAATAGTACACAATAAATTAAACATGAGAAAAAGGCAACTTTTTTTGCAAAGCATTTTATTTATTTTTTTAACAAAACAATACAAAATTCTGTAGCAACTGTCAAATGTTGCCTTGAGTGAACTGCATTCATTCTCATGGTACAGTAAAGTGCTTATTTTTAATCAAATCTTTTTTCATTAAAGTTAATTCCAATCGTCTTCCATTGAATCCAATGGAGAAAGATGTCGGCAGCTCTAGGTCAGAGGCTTGACCGTTTCCAACGCAGAGGGACCCACCAACGATCTGGTCTGAGTCTGGGGCATTGGACCGGTGCTGGATTGTAAATGCTTTGCCTCAAGGCTACATTCCACATGGGGATTCAAAGGCTTTAACTTCTCCTTACTTCAATGACAAAGTGAGACTTGATATACTTTGTCCCGTTCCCCAGTAAAAGGCAGCAGAAAACACTGCCACGCCACACAAAAAATAGAAATGGTCATGACCAGAAAAAAGTGTGGTCAAAAGTCTGCGTCTCAGAATATACCCTATCAAAAGTAGGGACATTGATAAAACGCTTTTATGCTCAAAAAGGGAGAAGGCAGAATACTGAAAGAGGTATTTCATAACCCCAAAGATTGCCTTGATCTTCAGATTCTTCAATTATAAGCTAAGTAGTTCCCAGAATGGAGAAGAAACAGCTGCATACACAAATTCAAGTACGTCTTAGTATAAGACATAAACCCATGTCGATGCATCTGGAGAAGAGATTTCCCAACTAGATCTTTCATCAGCAGAACAGCTCGAGACTACAGTGTGCTCCAGAGTCCACCCCACTGCACCATGGGTCGCAGTCAAACATTAGTCTCTCCCAAGCGGCCCCTTCACACAGGGGCCTTTGGGAAAGGCTCTTTGGTGAAATGACTGCAGTGGTGTCTCTGTCCACATCCGTCAGTCTCTGAATGGGTTTAGCTTAAAAGAACAAAAAAGGATTATTGCCGTAGCATCTTTCTACATACAAAAATAAATCTATCTGGGCGTGACAGCTCCAGATTAACGCTCCTCATTCACAACTGTGAGCTTATATATATTTAAAAAAAAAAAAAGGAACATGTAGAAATAAGGAAAACATCCGGTGTTTAACCTGAACTCAACAGCACCTGCTTGAAAAATGATAGAACTCATTGGCCGTAGCAAAAGGAACAAATCAGTGGCAGTTTTCAAATTACTGGAAAACTTTTTAGGAATGTTTTTCCTTTAGTTTTTTTGTCCATTTTGAACAATCTTTTTAGTATTGATTTGGTTGGAAATCTGTTGCCCATCGAGCTTATTTTGAAAAGGTTTCATCGAAAGAGTGAAAATTCACCCTGAAAAAAAAGGTCCAAGAGTTTGTTTTAACAAGAAAAACAACAGTCACATTTACTGAAATGTGCTTTTGCAAACCCTCAGAGATACAAACATTTACTGCCAAAATATCAAGAAAAAAAGTGGGGGAGGGGAAGTACAATTACTGTTTGCAAAAGATACATGTGGAAAAGACCAACAATGTTGCTTGTCATTTTATACAACAAGGCTTTTCCCACAGACCAGCCGCCTCGAAACCCTCACACCAACTCTGCTCAACCACCGAGAACATGGACCATGTGGGCATTTGGTTTGGTAGAAAACTGCAAACATTTGTGCAACAGGAAGTTATGGCTGGCTGGGTACATGAAAACATTCTAATCTTGTGCATGGCCAATGAACCCCTTACACACCTTTAAGCGTATGAACTTTGTTGAACAAAACGACAGGCAGCCCTATGACCCTATTCCACTGAATCCAAGACTTCATGATGTATTGCATAAGCGTGTACGTATGTGCAGATGGGACATACATGCAGATACATACAGGCAGAACATCCCATAACTTAATTCACAGTGGATCCAGTTGTAACGCACGAGCAGCACAAGTCCTTTGGTGTCTTAGAAAGTGTCCCATTTCTTCCAAACAGAGTTGTAGGAAAAATAATATAATTTAGAAAACCCCTCCCCAAACATGAATGTGCACATCTTGGGCATTGTGCTTGAGAAGTGCTGCAGAAGTGCAGAAGGCATCGACGAGGCAGGAGCAGGAGGGGAGGGGTTTAGGGTCTTCTGCCGTCTCAGGCACAGTCCCCGACGATGACCAGAGGAGCCAAGAGCTTCCGCAGCTCTGAGGCCGACACAGGACCAGTCATAGGCTGGCTGTCCCTCTGGCGGCGACGGGCCAGTCCGGAGTTTGAAGGAGAGAGGTGCACAGAAGAGCCACTGGCTGTCACCATGTACGGGGTATCCTGCTGCTGCTCCTCCATACCATCCTGTTCAGCCAGCTGCCTGTTCACTGCCATGGCTTTGCCCGCGAAGAAGGTCAGGTCCCTGGCAATGCTGGTTCTGTGAACAGGACAAACACTTAACCTCAAGTCACATGTCATGATTATACCAGTGCTTTCAGAAGTTCTCACCTCTGATGCAGGATGGAGGTTGGCAGAATCTCAGAAGCACCCTGGACACAAGTCTTATTTAGAATCAAACCATTATACATAAGTATTTAGGTTGACAGGACAGGACTCACCCTCTGCACCCAGGGGTGCTGCAGCACCTGGCTGGCACTCAGGCGGTTTTTGGCGTCCCGAACAAGAAGTTTGGAAATGAGGTCTTTGGCACTTGAGGAGATGTGAGCCCAGTCTTTTTCAGGAAACTCGTACTTTCCTTCCTGAATGCTCTCAAACAGAGTATTCTGTGGAGGACAGCAGCGTGTCACAAAGTGCCTGTTTGTACTTGTCATTCCACTCGTAAGAACTATTAACAGAGAGAGTGCGATTAGTACCTGGCAGGTGTGGCAGGGCTCCCCCAGCTCCCAGCCACAGTCGCCTCCACAGCGACCCACAAATGGAGGGTATCCGCTCAGCATGATGTACAGGATGACTCCCAGGCTCCACAGGTCACAGCGCTTGTCGTAGATTGTGGCCTCCTCATTGAAGGCCTCCACCACCTCTGGAGCCATGTACTCAGCAGAGCCACACTGCAACACAGAAGAGCAGATTCAGCAGAGGTCTCGTGCTCAGAGCGTGGCTCTCTAAAAGCTACACATGTGACCATCATCCAGCTCTAGATTCTATCACCACTTCATAGACACATTATGTATGTATAGCACACTATTTGGGGAAAGAATCTTTCATCACACAAACCATTTTAGTATACATTTTTAGACATTCCTCATAAAAGTAAGACTCCTCCAGTCCTGAGATGGGGGAGGACCACTCTAAATGAAAGGCTGCTGGGCCATTGAGTCAACTAGTGACCACTGCAGAACACTCTGGCCTAGTTTCTGTAAGTCGCTACATAACAGCTCCATCACAGACTCGGGAAAAGGATTCCAGGGGAGAGAGAGAAGCCCTTCACTCGTTACATAACAAACACAAAAATGTGTTCATACTTTAGTGAGTAAAAAGCAGGTGGGGGAGTGCAGCAGAACATTACAAATGAGTCAGTATTTCAGCAGCCTAAAATCAAAAGCACTGACCTATATATTTGCATTGCATTTATCACCAAGAATCTATGGGTTCTATTGTGCTCTAGTGCCTGTACCAGCTGTCCCCAAACCACACCTCCAGACCCTTTACGTAACAACATGTAGACTAAAGGAATCTCTGATCAGACAAAGCTGCTTCAGTCTTTGGCGAGGAAATGTAAAGCCCACCCATCCCCCTCAGCAGTCGAACATCCTGTCTGAGCGCTTTCGCTGCCTCTCAGCAAAAACAAACCAATGACACTTTTCTTCCGGACTCAGATCTAGTAGCAAACATTTTGTCAATTTAAAAAGGTGAAGAAAAAAAGAACCTTTGGTTTTATCAGGAAGTAGTACCACTCTACTCTCTCCCCCTTTAGTACTCTCCAGTCTGGGAATTTCCTTTAGTGACCATCAGGCCACACTAAACCACCTTACTGACGTATCCCTGCAGTTTGTAACGAGGATTTACATTAGGAGGCTTACACCCGTCTATATCGCCGGTCTGCATAGCCTGGTAACAGGCAGATCACCAAAACTAGCTGTACTGACGTGACTTGTAAATATTGACAAGTCACGTGCAACAAGTCCCTTTAAATGTCAAACATCAAGCGTGCCACTTCTTGGAATCTAAAAATAGACATTCCTAGAAAGGAGCAGCCATCATTTAGACATGCTATGTGTAAATACTTAAAAGGTATGAAAGAACACAAATAATTATTTCCATACAGTAGCTTGGAGTCACTGAGGCAGGAGTCAAAACAATTGCTTCAAACGCATGGAAAAAACCAGCCCAAACAAGAGTGGCCCATACCCCTCCCCCTGCCTGCGAACTGGCCAATCAGCATGCAGTTGCCATGTCACATAAGAAGAGGCAGCATACACACAAAAGCAGCTTCTAGAATACGTATGAAGAAATGCGTGAAGGGCTGGGGAAGGAAGATTTGTCCTTGTATCTGTCTCTGCAAGTGACAAGGCTGTAACGGGGCGCCCTGTTCTTACATGTCAAATGTCCTTTAAGTTACGATGTGTACAAGGTTAAGTGATTAGAAAGCAGCTCAGGAGTCTGTTGTGAAATACAATTACATTTGTGAGGACATTAAAAAAACCAGGCAGTGTTGCATTTTGCCCCCAAACTCAGCAAGTTAGCTGTACATTTTCTTATTTTTCAGCTTTCAAGGCAGCTTAGATTGTTCTAGTTACACTTTCAGCAGCAATGTGAATTATGATACCCAAAGTGACAAAATGTGACTTAAAACCATCTTACTTTCTATGTTGAAGCAATGGGAAACTATTGCCTCGTGAAGCCAAACATTTTTTCAAAACACCCTTTGTATTCCGCCTGACATTTGAGAGATTGTTGCAACACTACGCCACATGACACCTCCAGACAAACTCAAAAGGCTGTCTCCCTCAAATAGTCCCAAGATGAGCACCCAACCAGCCCTGGTGACTCAGGGAAGATGGAGTTACTTGAACAGAAAGCCCCTACATTCCTGCCCTGGGATCTTACAGCTGCTTGGCTCCATCAGTGTAAGTAAGTAAGTAGTAGTAAGTAAGCTTTATTTATATACCGCCTTTCACAGACCAGAGTCACAAAGCGGTTTACAATTGTTATTTTTTTGGGCACTTGTCTCTCACTCCACACAGAGATGGGAGCGGGGTCGCCGAACAGGAGGCGCATGCCAGACCTATTGTACATATTTTTAGTGGTAGGGGAAACCGGAGTACCCGGAGGAAACTTACGCAGACACGGGGAGAACATGCAAACTCCACTCAGAAAGGCCCTGGTCCGGCCAGGATTCGAACCCAGGACCTTCTTGCTGAGAGGCGAGAGTGCTATCCACTCAGCCACCGTGCCGCCCGTTGGTTCAGTGTACCAACAGAAAGCGTGTGTCAACATTGAACGCAGGTATGTACTTTGAGGTACGGCACGCTGCTGTGATGCCGAGCTGGGGGTTAAACAAGCATGACCTGGCAAACCTACCGCCACAAATACGCCTGATAAGACAAAAAGCAAAGGAAGAATTTGCCAATAACACATCAAGGAAGTGAGACCTCATATTGTCAAGGAACTGCTGCACTGAACTGTCTTAACCTTTCAACACAACATTGCACCAGCCAACCAGCACATGCCTCTACACATGACTCCACTCATCTCAGTCCAATAGGAATCCTGCGTGGTAATTGATAACATTTTTACAACTGCTGAGGATACTCCTTATCCACACATGGTACTTAAACTATGCAGATTAAAACAGTTTATCTGACAATTTGCTTTCCACAGCCTAAATCTAATCAAAGTAAAACATATTGACCTTACCGGAGTGAGAAGCTCCGGAGTGGAGATTGGGGAACTATCACTGTTCAACTTGATCCCACTTCCCAAGTCAAAGTCACAGATTTTGACTGGAGAAATCTGCAAGAATATATTCACACATGTAAGGCGTGAGGGTCAGATGACAACCATGTCTGTCCTTTGGTGTTGAAACAGGAAAACTCACCTTGTCTGCACTCTCACAGAGAATATTTTCAGGCTTCAGGTCTCTATGGGCCATTCCTATAAAACACACATTACGCCTACTTTATGACCAGAAAACAAAGCTTGTTGTGCAAGAGCTGTTAAAAGGCAACTCAAGTTCACATGTAATCTTAGCTGGAGTTTGGCTGCTCATTTAAATGAATAAGTTGTAAAGCTACACTCTGCCTTGAGGCACTACTGACCCTTGTTGTGTAGGAAATCCAAAGCACTTGCAATGTCCTGCACGACAAGACTGGCTTCCTGTTCACTGAAGCGCTGCCTCTTGTGAATGTGCGCCAAGATGGACCCTGAAATTACGAGACCACACCAACTGCTCAGACAGACGTCATAACAAACATAATGTGGTTTTTAAGAACTTGTTCCAAACAGTGGATTTGAACAAGCCATTACTTTGCATACCTCCTCTAAGCTTCTCAAACACAAGGTAGAATTTGTCTTCCTCCTCAAAAAACTCCACCAGCTCCAAGATGTTGCTGTAAAAACAAAATAAGCCACATGATGAGATTGCTAAAATAAAGAGAGAGTGTTTGTCCCAAGCCTAACTGCTCTTTACCTGTGTCCCTGGCACTGGTACAGCATTTCAACCTCACGGAAGACACGGCTGCGGCTGTGACCCGGTCTCTTCTCGATGATCTGTAAATAAAGAGCACAAAGAATTTAGAGTGAAATCCCACAAAGGCCAAATCTACAGAATGTTATGAGCAGCACAGCAGTAACAAGCCTGTGCCATGTGAGAGTTCATTTAGGTACTTCCTGAGCGCCTCATTCCTACAAACCGTAAACCATATAGCTGATTATACATTTCCAGTGTAGAGCTCCAGCCTTTGGTTTCTTTCCAGACAAAATGCCAGCGCAAACGTTTATCCAGGCATACATGGCATACCATGTTTATCCAGGCCATGACATGCAGTATGTCAATACAGTGCAACCCACATTTAGCAGTCTGAGCCAAACGGCAAGAGTCAAACGATGCATCACTAAACATAGTCGTCTGACCCATTTTCTCCCTTGTAAGACATCCTAAATTGTGTCCGATAATGACAGAAACTGTGGGCTCTAAATATAACCACACTGGATGGAACAAACCACAAAGAGGGGCCACCAGCTGCAACAGACTGCTGACAAGGAAGCAGAAAAAACGAGGCGTGAATTTTCCAGCCCTGGCTTGTTATTGGGCGACAGTAGCTCAGTTGGTAGAGCATTGGTCTTAAGGCCAGAAGGTTGTGGGTTCAATTCCCACCTCTGCACCTTCTCCATCAACTCCCACTGATGACTTCTGTCGTTGTGTCCTTGGGCAAGACACTTAACCCCACTTTGCCCAAAGCCCCCACTGAAAGATCAAGGCTATGCTCACACTCAGAGAGCAGCCGTCCTCCTGTGGACTCACCACCTGCAGAGGGTCAGTGAGGGGCTGGTGCTATGAGACTTGGGTGGCATCTCTGACTGCCACCCCCCTGACCCAGAAATGGATTAAAGGGTAGAAAATGGATGGATGGATGGATGGGCTTGTTATTGTGCATGAGTGGGAGGTTGGACTAGCTTCTCCTGGTAGTGCGATTACAGCAACTATTGAAGCTTGGACGGGCCGGACTCTGTGTGCCTAGGCTTAGAGCGCAGACAAGAGGAGCAGATTGACCAAAGCCACGTTCTGAGTCAGCAGCGGGCAGTAGCCAACTTCCTCGCACCACTAGAGTACAGAGCTCATAAAAGTGTTTGAAATGTAGCAACACTTTCAATTATTTTCTATCGGCATCAGGCAACATTCCCTGTGGTGCAGTTTCCTCATGTAGCTTTCTATTGCCCAACCATTGCAGGCTCAAGCAAAACAAGGCTGTACAGGGTGAGCTTGAACACCCAATTGGGAAAAAGCTTAACGCAGAAGCTGATCACCCGTGGGTGCGGGGGCTTTGTTCAGTCGTGAGTGACATGGGAGTCTGTCTGGGGGGGAGGGGAACGCTGGGACATCTGGAGTTTGGAGCACCCCATCACTCCAACAACAGCCCCTTGTGTCTGACTCCTCCCCCAAAATGCAGGCTGTGGGGATTTAAGCGTTCATCCTCCTGGGGTAAACAACATTGACCCATACATAAAAGTCACAAGCTTTACATTAAGCGTCTGAAATATAATTTTTTAGTACAATGTACACTCCCAGGGGAAATTCTTTAAACGCCTTCTTAGTAATGTGCAATTGCAACGCTATGAATGCAGACTGCAGTGTCTAATGAGAGGAAAATCAGTTCACTTGTGGCATCTAGTTTGAAAACAAACACCAGTTGGACTTGATCCGCATCAAGAAAAAAAATTGTGAAATGTTTTGTTCCAGAAAAATGGGCAACACAGAAGTTTATAAAGGCAAGGACATGTCCTCACTAGTCCACTCCCCGTCATAGAAAAAAGTAAGCAGAGTGAAGAGAACAAAGCAGTGTAAACAGCCTGGGTCACAACCCACACCCGCCTTCCTCTGTGGGTTTTGTTTTGGCACAATAACCAGTACACTTTGTTCTCACCACCAGCGCCCTCTACAGACGGCACAACTACAGGGGAAAGGGGTGGATAGAGTCCTCCCTGCACAGTGATTGGCTGATGCTATAAAAACAGGGGAAGTGACCATGTGCAGCTGCAGCATATGTTGCACGCTGCAAAATGAAAAGTGGAGCAGGTAACAACACTGCATGAATCTGATTTTGCCTCCAATATACAATGGAATAAGACAGCTGCTGCAAAGCTGGGCTGTGTGCAGTCAACCAGAGACCACTTTTAAACATATCCTTTGAGATCAATGCATTTTTAATAGTTCCCATAAGAGCTTGAGATGAAGGTCTTTACGTGTCGGACCAGTGCTGTACAGCCCCAGCACTGAAGTTACACTACAGTTGCAGATGAGTGGGGCTTTCACAGACCCTCGAGGGCAGGCCTTAAACACCATAACACACTTCACCTGATAGAGATATGAAAATGAGCGTTACCTTGACAGCATACTCCTTGTTTGTGATGAGGTTGATACAGGTTTGAACCCTGGCATAAGCTCCTTCTCCTAAAACTTCCTCTTGTAGTCTGTACACATCTGCACAAAAATGTTTATGATGAACACCACATGCCCAAAACAACTCCATTGAGAGGCATAATTTCTCTAACCTTCAAATCGTCCAGAGAAACTGTCTGTTGCTCGGCAACGCTTCTTCTTCTTGTTTCTCTTCTTGGCATCAGGGATGTCTATGGGCTGGCTGGAAGGCATGTCTGTGGAGCAAGTGCCAACACTTAACATCCAAATAAATGCATCTGACTAATGAGTAATAGTTATGAATATGTACCCATAGGAAGATACATTTACTTACCATGTCTTGGGGAGGGGTCAAAATTAAATGAATCAATGAGGTGGGATCCATTTTTAGTAAAGTCATCTGACTCAAAGGGATTTTTGCCCTGGAATATAGAACAGGAAGTAATTTAGATTAATACCCTCATATCAATGTTGTGTTTTATCTGTATGTGTTAATGTTTAGCCTCCTGTGATTATACAAAGTTTTATCTGCACTCACAACCATAAAACAAGTTTACTTTCCCCCTATTGTGGGACCACTAATGTTTCCTCGTCTTACTTCACACATGCTATTTGTCCATTTGCACAATATAGAATCCACAAAACCTATAATATCTGAAACATTAACAGCATTTTCATTGTTTTATTCAACACATGCCATGTGTGTAAGCTAGGAGATGTGGGAAAGAAACAGATGCGCTTATAAATAGAAAAGCAAAGTCCTCCCTCACCAGCCAAGTGTGATCCGTCAGCATAGGTCTAAAAAGCAGCATGGCCCTGAATCTCACCTTGAAAGAGCGATGAAATCCAGTGACTTCGGTGATCTTGTTTTGCACCATTTTCTTCAGATTAAGGGGGATTTTGGCCGTGCAGCGGCAGTGGTCAGAGGATACGTGTTGCAAAACTCCAAAACAAATCAATGTTTCAGAGGGACTTGCAAGTGATCACACTGCTGGTGGGTCAGATGCTGCAACGCTTTAAACGGGAGTCCTGAACAATAAAACACTGAATTAGAAGACCTACCCAAACACCCACATGCCATAACAACGTGCACACGTAGACTGCAGTTACAGGAAGACTATGAAAAGATTGACTAATCTGTCACATGGTCATGAGGCCATAAACAATCAGTGCCTGGTGCAACTCTGTACAACCTCACCCTGCTCAACACAGCATGCATTTAGGTCACCAAAAATCCCATATTTTATCCAATTCAGTCCACGTTTGTAAATGAGCATTCATTCAGTGACTTAACAATTATCACTATCACTTTGTAATATCAAGTCCACATTTATAAGTGTCTTTAATTTCTCAGTGTGTGATTTTTATTTCATTTGCGGTCAAAGATACCATCATTGGAAATGTTTAAGTTACCAGTAGACAAAACACGCATACCATTATAAAACAGGACAATTATTAAAAATTAAATTTATTTAACTGGAAAACCATGCACTTTACCGACATATGTGGAAGGAAAAATGCTAACGCCTCTAAACAGGCAAGTTCACCCATTGTAGACATTTTTAAATATGGCCACGATGACGCAATGCATAACAGTGCATCAACGACAGACACCAATAAAGAAATAAAACAATAAAAAGCGCTTCAAACCTAGGATTTCCACCCAAACTGAAAACAACACAAACAATAGCAGCACCAGGCGCTGTTTATCCCTTTAAGAATGCGCTGGCTTGACTGTTTGCACACAGAACGTCGAGAAATTTCGCTGATAAAAATACAATTTGGCGCATGATCCATTTCACGTACTCACCCCGTTGTTAAAGTAAGAACTCCAGTGTTAGCGTGGGGCGTCTGTGTTTGGACAGCCGCAGAGGGAGAGCGGGCGGGGAGGGGGATGCGAGAGGCCGCTAAGTGCTCAGTAGAAGGTGAAGAGAGACGCGAGCAGAGGCTTTTATAACCTCTCTGCCAGACACAGGCCCCGCCCCTTTGTATGCGTCAATGCGTCAACGGCTCCAGAAGGATCACGTGGGTTCTAGAAGGAGAGGGCTGCGTTCAGATTCGAGTGTGGCTTTTCACTAGGGTGACCAGTGGGACGCTCCTCCGTTCTTTCAAATAAAAGTGAGGCTGTCCAAGTACAAAGCTAAAGTTAAATCTGAGGTACCTGACTTTCAAGCCACAAAAAATCAACTACTAGTTCTACCTTGTGTTGATCTAAGCAATCCAGAGAAGGGTTACGAAATGGGATGCTGCCAGCCTGCTCGTGTGGTACGTGCGCGTAAACAGGGCTGTGGGTGGCCCATTAATAACACACCAGTACAGAACACTGACCACGACCTGCACGTCTGTTTACATCTCAGACTGAGGCTGAGGACGAAGCAGGAGGCTTTTGTTAAGTGTTCCGATACCGGTCTTTATGGGATGTGATGTGATCCGATACGTGCTGCAAAACAGTTCACAAAATAATACAGTAGATAATATCAAAATATCGAACTCATTTAGAAATTAACTTAAACACTTCACTCATCAAAGAGTTTCCAAAGTGCCATACATGAATCAGTAAAAAAAAACCACAACATGCCCAATCTGACAATACATACAGTAAGATAAGATAAAACTTGAAAATCTAAAATAAATCAAATTATATATGTGTATATTATATAAATACATATCTTTACTCAGAGAACCACACAACTCACACAGTGTTAAAAGCCAGGTAATAAAAGTGGGTTGAGACAAGGCTTATAGAAAAATATATATACATTGTTTTTGTCCATTACTTGATATTGAAGCTTTGTCATTTAATGTTTTAGAAAGTTAAATATTATGTATTATTACGTAGAAAATGTATGGTGAAACAACTAAGAAGGTAAAACGTATGTTCCGGCTGCACCTGCCTTTGCTGTCACCAGTTGATATTTTTTTTTTTTCTGTTTTGAGAATTACCAACTGCAAAGACCAACATTCAATTGAAAATAATGTAATTTCACTTTAGAAATTGTCAAATTAATGTGTGCGCAATACTTTTATTTTAAAGCCAGATAACTGCTCTTAGCATAGGGTTAGACATCACACAGTAAGTCACTGTTTAAGAGATCTTTTATCCGTCACACAGTGGGGAAATGTCAATGTCAATGTTGCACATAAGACTCAGATTGCACACATCAAACAGGATCTTTTATTTAAGATAATAATAAAATAAAATAATAGAATAATAAGTAATAAGATAAAAGTGCAGCTATAATTGCACTTGGTTTGACTCTAGTGGAGTATATGTATTTAGCACGGTGGCTAAATGGATAGCACTGAGTGGATAGCACTCTCGCCTCTCAGCAAGAAGGTCCTGGGTTCGAATCCCGGCCGGACCAGGGCCTTTCTGAGTGAAGTTTGCATGTTCTCCCCGTGTCTGCGTAGGTTTCCTCCGGGTACTCCGGTTTCCCCTGCCACTAAAAACATGTACAATAGTTCTGGCATGTGCCTCCTGTACTGGCGACCCCGCTCCCATCTCTGTGTGGAGTGAGAGGAAGTGCCCAAAAAATAACAATTGTAAACCGCTTTGTGACTCTGGTCTGTGAAAGGCGGTATATAAATAAAGCTTACTTACTTACTTAGCAGGAGGTATTTACAGATGTTTATATTGTACTTTAGCAGCAAAAAATATGACCAGAATAAATCACAGTAATAACAGAGCAGGTGAACGATCACAAACAGAAATATCAGAGGATGTGTAATAATGCAGTAATAATAACACGTCTCCTTTGGGCGGCACGGTGGCTGAGTGGATAGCACTCTCGCCTCTCAGCAAGAAGGTCCTGGGTTCGAATCCCGGTCGGACCAGGGCCTTTCTGAGTGGAGTTTGCATGTTCTCCCCGTGTCTGCGTAGGTTTCCTCCGGGTGCTCCGGTTTCCCCTACCACTAAAAATATGTACAATAGGTCTGGCATGCGCCTCCTGTTCGGCGACCCCGCTCCCATCTCTGTGTGGAGTGAGAGGATAAGTGCCCAAAAATAATAACAATTGTAAACCGCTTTGTGACTCTGGTCTGTGAAAGACGGTATATAAATAAAGATTACTTACTTAAAACACCCCAAGTATTGTGAAGACATTAGATACATGCTTTTATAGATCATTTGATTTAGTGTTTAAACAGTTTTGAGGGGACTCTCTACTTTCAGTGCATGTCACAGCATTCTATTTTTTCCTTCTTTATTTACAAAACTTCAAGAAGTCCTAAACAATTTCTAAAGTTTGTATAAGCTTGTGAAGGAAATCCCCCAGGAAGCTGCATTACCTTATTAAAGAATAATTCCACTTGTGTTGGGAAAATTTGACCCCAGTTTGGGGCTGCTGATGAATGCTTGAGTCATGGCTCGCCCATGGGTCACTACAGCAGCTGCCTGGGGGGTTTCTGCTCACTGATTTCACTGCTGAGTAAGATCACTACAAGTATATATACTTATCCTACGATCAAAGGCTATAATCTTGACCTGGGGTGGTCAAACTTGTTTAACCGTTTAGGCGCCAAAGTAGTAAATAAATTACATGAGCTCCAGGATTCAGATTTGACTCTGAATCCTGGATCTTTGATCAGTCCTGTCTTTCTGTTTTAATTTGATAAAATCACTCGTGGAGAAATTCCATCTCGGCATTCGTTTTCTATCACTTGTTTTAACATACATGTATTTTTGGTGGCCTCACATCACGTCTAGATCAGCTTTTTCAGACAGAAAAACAGCGGACTCTCACTTAGCCAATCATCTTTGAGACTGGCGCTTTCTTTACAAGTTTGGGACAGATCACTTTTCTCCCACCTGCTTTGTGAGTTGTTCCTCTGATGCAGGAGTCTGTTGGGCAGTTATTGTCTAATAAGAAGGACTGTGATGATCCAGGACACTCTAACATTCTACAACATGTATGACATTTATCAACATTCATGGACATTGGTCTCTCCTATGGACCAACTCATATGTGTATATTCTGTGTTTTAACTGTTTATTCTCTGATCTGTGGTGATTTCAATGGTTTTGTTAAGTCTCTGAGATGATGCTGTTGTGATTTAGGGCTATACAAGAATAAATTGTATAATAAATTGTAGAACATGTTTTATAATTAGATGAAGACAGCGTCTGATTTGTTCACATAATTTTACTTTTACAAGGCTCTGTCTGTAGAGATAAACATCAGGTGTTATTTATTATGTACTCATGTCAGAATAGTACTGGACCATGTAGAAAACATCACAAAATACATAATACAACATTATCTTCAGTTATCTGTAACTAAGTTTCACTGGCAAAGTTCTCTCTGCAGCTCGGGCTGAGGACAGGGCTGTGTGCTGGGTTAAGACTGAGGTCTCACTGCAGCGCTAATGAAGGATATACAGGAAGTGCTACGACGTCGCGTGGAGATTTCTTATAACCAGCCCACGCTCGGCCGCGAGATGCCAAAGTTATGGAGGCTGCACGTACTTGACAGCCCTGGAGATTAAAAGCAGGGTGTTTTGGCAGAGGCGTGTCAGCGCAGTGACTTCATGTTGCATCATTGTCTAACAAGGATGTAACCAGTCACATGCCGCGGAGTTATCTTTGCTATATCTACATTTCACATTTATTAGAAAGAACAGGAGGGAGACAAACAACTTTAAGCAAATGATGATTCAAGTTTGGACAAGTTTTGTAATAGAGCTGCTGTGGTTGTAATACTTTAATTAGATCTGCAGTTCTGTGTGTGATAAGACCGAGGGAAACCAGAAGATTATTAATGAAATAATGGACAATATGAATGAATCTGCGAGATACCAAACTCCAAACTTCAGTGACGGTTTTAAAAGACACATTCAGACGGCTGTAATATATGTCCATCTCAGGTCAGTCAAGGCACCTATGCGGCTGAAGGATAGAGGTGCATTGTGGGTATATTTGTATTTGAGATACGGCCTGAGGGCTCTAACGTCAGTGTACCTGGAGGTCATGTGACTCCTGATGACATCATGATACCAACTCTAGCTCGCCTGCATGCGGACAAACCATGTGTGAGGCACGCTGTACAGTTCCCACAATGCAGTGGGTTATGACAGACACTGAATAATCATTGAATTGAATCAATGACTCTTCTGGCCACCCTGGAAAAGGCATGTTCCAGCTTCTTCCTTCTGGCAGAAGATATCGTTCGCTGAGATGCAGGACATCTCGATATGCTAACAGCTTCTTCCCACAGGCTGTTATCGGTTTGAACAGAGCACTTCAGTGATCTTGCACTGGGGACTATTACGGATATATTCCTGTGTGGTTTTACTGCAAATGGCAAATACATTTATCTTAAGAAACATTCAGAATCTGAATCTGGAAAGTGACTGATTAGAGAAGTTTTTTGACTTTTGTTTCATCATCAATGTTTAAGAGACAGGTCCAAGACAGTGTTGATCATGAGGTCCCAGACTGTACAGTGTTGATCATGAGGTCCCAGACTGTACAGTGTTGATCATGAGGTCCCAGACTGTACAGTGTTCATCATGAGGTCCCAGACTGTACAGTGTTGATCATGAGGTCCCAGACTGTACAGTGTTGATCATGAGGTCCCAGACTGTACAGTGTTCATCATGAGGTCCCAGACTGTACAGTGTTGATCATGAGGTCCCAGACTGTACAGTGTTGATCATGAGGTCCCAGACTGTACAGTGTTCATCATGAGGTCCCAGACTGTACAGTGTTTATCATGAGGTCCCAGACTGTACAGTGTTTATCATGAGGTCCCAGACTGTACAGTGTTCATCATGAGGTCCCAGACTGTACAGTGTTGATCATGAGGTCCCAGACTGTACAGTGTTGATCATGAGGTCCCAGACTGTACAGTGTTCATCATGAGGTCCCAGACTGTACAGTGTTCATCATGAGGTCCCAGACTGTACAGTGTTGATCATGAGGTCCCAGACTGTACAGTGTTTATCATGAGGTCCCAGACTGTACAGTGTTCATCATGAGGTCCCAGACTGTACAGTGTTCATCATGAGGTCCCAGACTGTACAGTGTTCATCATGAGGTCCCAGACTGTACAGTGTTCATCATGAGGTCCCAGACTGTACAGTGTTCATCATGAGGTCCCAGACTGTACAGTGTTCATCATGAGGCCCCAGACTGTACAGTGTTCATCATGAGGTCCCGGACTGTACAGTGTTGATCATGAGGTCCCAGACTGTACAGTGTTCATCATGAGGTCCCAGACTGTACAGTGTTTATCATGAGGTCCCAGACTGTACAGTGTTGATCATGAGGTCCCAGACTGTACAGTGTTGATCATGAGGTCCCAGACTGTACAGTGTTCATCATGAGGTCCCAGACTGTACAGTGTTTATCATGAGGTCCCAGACTGTACAGTGTTTATCATGAGGTCCCAGACTGTACAGTGTTCATCATGAGGTCCCAGACTGTACAGTGTTCATCATGAGGTCCCAGACTGTACAGTGTTCATCATGAGGTCCCAGACTGTACAGTGTTCATCATGAGGTCCCAGACTGTACAGTGTTCATCATGAGGTCCCAGACTGTACAGTGTTCATCATGAGGCCCCAGACTGTACAGTGTTCATCATGAGGTCCCGGACTGTACAGTGTTGATCATGAGGTCCCAGACTGTACAGTGTTCATCATGAGGTCCCAGACTGTACAGTGTTTATCATGAGGTCCCAGACTGTACAGTGTTGATCATGAGGTCCCAGACTGTACAGTGTTGATCATGAGGTCCCAGACTGTACAGTGTTCATCATGAGGTCCCAGACTGTACAGTGTTTATCATGAGGTCCCAGACTGTACAGTGTTTATCATGAGGTCCCAGACTGTACAGTGTTCATCATGAGGTCCCAGACTGTACAGTGTTGATCATGAGGTCCCAGACTGTACAGTGTTGATCATGAGGTCCCAGACTGTACAGTGTTCATCATGAGGTCCCAGACTGTACAGTGTTCATCATGAGGTCCCAGACTGTACAGTGTTGATCATGAGGTCCCAGACTGTACAGTGTTGATCATGAGGTCCCAGACTGTACAGTGTTTATCATGAGGTCCCAGACTGTACAGCGTTGATCATGAGGTCCCAGACTGTACAGTGTTGATCATGAGGTCCCAGACTGTACAGTGTTCATCATGAGGCCCCAGACTGTACAGTGTTCATCATGAGGTCCCGGACTGTACAGTGTTGATCATGAGGTCCCAGACTGTACAGTGTTCATCATGAGGTCCCAGACTGTACAGTGTTGATCATGAGGTCCCAGACTGTACAGTGTTCATCATGAGGTCCCGGACTGTACAGTGTTGATCATGAGGTCCCAGACTGTACAGTGTTCATCATGAGGTCCCAGACTGTACAGTGTTCATCATGAGGTCCCAGACTGCACAGTGTTCATCATGAGGTCCCAGACTGTACAGTGTTTATCATGAGGTCCCAGACTGTACAGTGTTCATCATGAGGTCCCAGACTGTACAGTGTTGATCATGAGGTCCCAGACTGTACAGTGTTGATCATGAGGTCCCAGACTGTACAGTGTTCATCATGAGGTCCCAGACTGTACAGTGTTCATCATGAGGTCCCAGACTGTACAGTGTTCATCATCAGGTCCCAGACTGCACAGTGTTCATCATGAGGTCCCAGACTGTACAGTGTTCATCATGAGGTCCCAGACTGTACAGTGTTCATCATGAGGTCCCAGACTGTACAGTGTTCATCATGAGGTCCCAGACTGTACAGTGTTCATCATGAGGTCCCAGACTGTACAGTGTTGATCATGAGGTCCCAGACTGTACAGTCTTGATCATGAGGTCCCAGCCTGTACAGTGTTCATCATGAGGTCCCAGACTGTACAGTGTTCATCATGAGGTCCCAGACTGTACAGTGTTCATCATCAGGTCCCAGACTGCACAGTGTTCATCATGAGGTCCCAGACTGTACAGTGTTCATCATGAGGTCCCAGACTGTACAGTGTTCATCATGAGGTCCCAGACTGTACAGTGTTCATCATGAGGTCCCAGACTGTACAGTGTTCATCATGAGGTCCCAGACTGTACAGTGTTGATCATGAGGTCCCAGACTGTACAGTGTTGATCATGAGGTCCCAGACTGTACAGTGTTCATCATGAGGTCCCAGACTGTACAGTGTTCATCATGAGGTCCCAGACTGTACAGCGTCAGCCTCTGCCTTCAGAAAACCTCCAGGCGATCCAGCAGTATGGCATTAAATCTATGTATTACATGACTTGGATCGTTCATGCGCTCTGATTGGCTGATTTGCGATCTGATATTTTACCGTTACCATGACAATCGGTCCACAGCGCGTTTCAGATTTGATATCTTTCCTCGGTAAAAAAGAAATAATGAGCGACTGGGAACATTCTCAGTGAATTTTATCATCAGGACAAGTTGGAAGAGCCAGAGGAAGTAATAACAGCAAATAACGACAAAAACACAACTCCAACAGTCAAGAAGAGATCGACAACTTGGTTACAGACCAGAAAGGTAAAACCAGGACCAGGAAAACCAAGTGGGACATGAACATCACAGATATGTAAAAAGCATTGGTAAAGACACAGACTGAGAACTTACAGCGGGCGCCTCAATCCTCTGTTCTTCATGTCACAGTTTGACACTTTGGTCAAATGTGTTTTTACTTCAAACCCATCCATATTTGCACAAATTAAAAATAGTCATATAATAAAACATTTATTAACCTCACTTGCTCGGTCTGTACAAAAAGGCTCGTTTAATAAGCCGTTAATATTGTTTCAGTTTTTATACTTTTAAACAAGTTTGTTTGTGTATTGCTTTGATCAGGCCCATTAACATTTCTCTTTTAATAAACATTTTTCAAAGCGTTGACAGCACCATGGCAACTTCTGGATGTTTCCCCCTTCAGTGAGGAACGGGGCATTGCATTACTCTGTCCTCAGTAGTCGACACAAAACACTTTCTTCGGTGAAAATTAAATTATTTATTGAAGTTATCTTTTATGATTTTTCTTTGTTACAATTGACTTGAAGCAGATTAATAAAATCTTTCATGGATCAGCTTTTTTAAGTGATTTATGGGGTATCAGATTGTCGTTGAGTGACAGGCCTGCTCTACAATGTGTTTGGAGGTATTGGATGGCGCCTCTTCTATTGATTCTTTTTACAGTGGCTTTAGAGATGATGTCATGTTCCCAGATGGATGGGAGGAGCCATCCCCCAGAAAGTTAAGTTCTCCGGTCACTCACTGCTCGTTGGTGATCTCCAAACTTATGGGATGGGATTTTAATGGTGAAATTGTCAATATTATTGACTCATACCTTCTTCAGATCAGGGAAGTGCGTTCTGCAAAGTGTTTTCAGAGGATCTGACATAACTTTGAAGATCCACAGAATAATCAGTGATAAAAACCAAGGGCCAAATGAAAGACTAGGCTCTAATCTGCAGCAAACAGTTCCTCTTTACCTTTTACTGATCTGTCATGGAACACAGTTTATACAGCTTCACCTTCAATATTTTGACTTTACCAAACTTGAACCAGGGCCACCACGGGCAAAGCGTTGTGGCATAACCAGACCACCATCCTATACAAAATATTTGTTGGCCCCAGGCAACTTTTTCAACGGTCAATGAAGAACGTAGCAAGTTTTGCATCAGATAAAGAGTTTTTATCCGCCTTCAAAATGGAGACTTATTGTCTCTATTTTTCAATCTTTGTTTTGTCGTTAATGATTTGAGAATCATAACGAGACCGTTTTTAGTCCTGTGGCCCCATTTTACTTTACCAGTGAGATTAGCTCCACGCGGTGAGTTCTGGCGCTCGGATCACAGACTTTCTGATTGGTGAAACGGTGGAGGGCGGGACACCGACTGAAAACAATAACAAGATTTAGGGGCCGAGATATTAGAATTTTGAAATATCTCTGAACTACTGTTGTCAGTTAAAGAAGGATTCATGGTTTATTAATGCCTTTTGACAGAT